ATTATAGGACAAAGGTAATAAAGACAACCACACAGTATATGTGAGAAATGTTCATTTGTTATTTCATTCATTCATAAATATTTTGAATAAAAGAGATTGTGTGATATTTATTGTCGACTGATTGCTTAACGTCTTTCTGTATATCATAAATTTAAGAGATGTGTGTTTTACACCACAAGCAACTAACGATGTTGCCAAGGTTTCACAAATCTAAAAAAAAGCAGTACCAAAACGCGCCTTGTTTTATCGACAGTCTAAACTGAGAGAGGATAGGTTGAAGATTGTTACATTTGTTTTCTGAACTCATGTTTTGGTTTTAGAATTCAGAGTTAACCATCAGTCAGTGCAATGTCACTCGCATCTTTTTAGAAAACAACAAAGGTAGATCTTATGTTAGAAATTTTTCTGTGACACATTGTTGCTTTTTGCTTTCTTTCTCATCCGTTGGTATGGATAATATGTTTGTGTTTTTTCTTCTCATCCGTTGGTTTGGGCCTGTGGCAAAGCCTGTGGCCATAAGCTGTCGCAGAAGTATTCAGTGCAAAACACGACAATATCTGTTATGCCAATGTCGTGCCATTCTACACAGAATACAAGATAGATCTTTTAAACCAGTTAAGAGTCAATTGGCATTGGATAATGGATGGAGCCTACGTGCTGGAAAGGCTTGAAAAAAGAATGGAGGTTCCCAGGTAGTCTACACATAGCAAACAGACTAAAAGTTGTCAATAATCATTTACAAATAATAATATGGGGGAAGCAGATAAGAGGCTTCACTTATTCGAAATATGTAAGAATAGGAACATTGAAGAAGGTTTTTGATATTGTTAAAGAAGTGAGATATTTTTGGAGGGTATCTCAGATTTAACCAAGTGGCCTTTTGTCAACAAAAGGTTTAAAAAATTTAAAGAAAGGAGAAGACCTGATGAAAAAAATAATGGAAGATGAGGTCAAGAAGATTAAAGAGACATGGACAAAAGAACGAGGACAAAGAAAACCAACAAAAAAAGAAAGGAAAAAGACTTTGAGAAACTAAACAAAAATCTGATAAAAATACAGCAAAAATTTAGAGACATGGGACATCCAGACTGGATACCAGAGAAAGAAAAGAAAAAGAACAAAGAAATTTTAGGAGAAAATCATGACATGTTGGAAAAAGTGCAGAAGATTAAAGAAGAAAACAAAGGCTCTCCTCATGGCCACTTCAATACCTCGAAAAGATTTTCATTTTTGTATTGCCTAAACAACAATTTTTTTTTATATAAAAATGAATTGTATAGTATATGTAAGTTATAAAAAAAAACATACATTACTATATTTGCCAACACGAACGCATGACGTCACAGTTATTGTATGTTACAGTGTTGTCAGTGTCCAGTACCTTGACGTCAAGCCAACTGTGTCATTCCTCTTGTTGCTATACAGTCCCAAATGTGCTAATATAAAATTCCCATTGTCGCTAAAGTATCCCAGGCTGATTTCTTGTCGCTATAAATATTGTCGCCAATTTTCATTTTGGGGTCCTATAATGTATTTTCCAGTGAAATCTGAGCATTAGTTGGGATCATTAGTCATATGGTTAGTACATTTGGAATGTTCTCGGCCTTTTTCATCATATGGTACAATCAACCGAAATCGTAAATGATGACGTTTTGAAATACCCTCAAGATTATCGTCACTATTACGTTATAACAACTTAATTGACTTCAGATATTACTAGAAGAGGTGAGAATGTTCCAAAAGATGGTTCTGGTAGTTAAAACACCCCGTTATTTTCCTCATTCTACGCTATAGTCGCTAAATAAGCAACTCTGCTATTTTACAATTTTCTATTCAATATTATCCTTTCGCCAACTAACTCTGATGTTTTACTTCGATTTGGTACTTTACAGCACAATAATCCAGGCATGTTATCTAGTGTCCAGGCAACTGGAGTAAATTGCCTTGCCCATGGACACAACGATAGCTCACCTAGGCTGGTCCCATGGAAGGATTTAAACCCGCACTTATTCGGTCGTGAGTTCGGCGCGAGTTGAGCCACAACGGCTCTTATAATATTCATGGAAGAGATAGAAATGTATAATGCCCGAGTAAGGCTCAGTTTAATAACAACAATACGTCATGGAATCATTTTCTTTTACATTCATTTCTTTGGGTCAGTTTAATGACAGCAATAGGTCCATGACTTTCTAGTGCATCATTTTCTTTTTGAGTCAGTTTAATAACAACAATATGCCATGGAATTATCGTAGTGCATTGATTTCGTTATGAATCAATTTAAAAACAGCAATATATCTGTGGAATCACTTAGAACTTGAATATAGTTTATTACAATTGGGATTAAAAGACTGGTCTTAGCACGTAGAACTTGAAGATGTTTTATAACAATTAGGATAACTTGAAGTTGTTTTATTTCAATTTGGATTAGAAGACCGGTCTTAGCAACCATTATCTGGATATATATATATATATATATATATATATATATATATATATATATATATATATATATATATATATATATATATATATATACACACACACACACACACACACATACATTTAAACCATAGCGGTTAATGACTTCGAAGATAAAAAGTATTATGTAATTATCTTTGTTATCAATAGAGGTGTCCATTTTAGCAAGGGACTGTACTTGAATCGGGTACAATATAACCTTCAAGTGTTGATATGCCGTAAATATGAAATCCAAAACCAAAACAATAGGTTAAGTAATGCACATGCTTTTTCAGAAACTGTAATTTACATTATCATTTGAAGTGTTCAAAGTGTTTCAAAACTTGTGCACGATTAGCTAGATAACGTAGAGGTGATGCCAGACGTAGCTATTAACCTTCATGTATACTTAATTCATTCTGCTTGTACCTGAGGGGTGGGGAATGAAGAGTTTTACCTTAACTCTGAACAGGTCAGGTGCAAAGCGAACTACACTGTCATGTCCACATGTACCTACCACAACGTTTCTTGAGAATATAAATAAATTAACGGAGACATTATTGTTGTACACAAACTCTTAGATGACGTCAGCGTCATTTTAATTGGATGGCGGAGATGAATAAAACGTAGAATTTATATAATCATACTGCATAGTGCCATTGTTATAGAAGTCATTTAACAAATTATCCAATAAGCGGTTGCTGGTTTTTTTTTGGGGGGGGGCGATTGTTGTTGGTGTTTTTTGTTGGTTACTTCTTTTATTTCATTTCAAGAAAAAAAAATTCTCAGTACATTTCTTCATGGAACCTTAAACTTCAACGATTAATTCTTTAAAAAAAACAGTGATTTTATTATAGAGGTATCATAGGTCATTGTTTATTCTACATTCAAGCTTTTTTTTTCTTTTATTGTTTTGCCCCGATTTACTCATATTGAAAATTTTATCATGTGCCAATGGGGATTGACCGAGCAAACATCTTTCATGAACTCAGATTAGAATTCGAGGCCATTTCAAGTAACAACAGTTGAAAAAAAGAGAATAAATAGTAATGTGTGATTCAGTTTCGTTAACAAATTTCTGCACAGCAATACACTGCAGAAAGATATGCCTTTTTAATATTAATTTTATTTTCTGCAACTACAAATAGTCTTATTTTTTAAAATCACTTCTCAAGAAAAATTTTTAACAACCACATAGTCAATTTTTTTTATTTTCGTTGCATCTATTTTTATCACAATCTTAATAAAAGATACAACAGCAAAAAGTGAAAGAAAAATAAAATCTGTGACTTTTGATACAGAATTCAGTAGATTATACAAATTTACAAAAATATTTACCAGATTTTCTTTTTTTTTTAAATGAAACAAACCGGTATAAAACTTGCTTAATTACTTGTATAAATTTACTAAGAGGCGATAATTCTTTCTATTTTACTGTGAACTAAAATCTGTGTTGGCAATACAACTCTAACCAATGTTTGATTTTATGATCCCGTTTTATCGATAAGAACACGAAAATACTTTTAAAGTGATCGTTAACATGGGCCAATCTAACTAGCTGTATTTGTTGTCTATGTTCCCTGTGTACTTAGCTATTGATTTAAGTGCAAGCAAACACTTAATGTGTGAGGGCATACAAAAGGAGGCAATGAAAGTGCATAAGAAAGACATCAATAGGCCCCTTGATTCCTGGGAGGTCTGACTAGAGATGCTGAAGGACGAACCAGAGGAAAACAACAACAGAACATTAAAACATGTCCAAGTTGTTTGAAAAATAAGACTCTTGCTTTTAGTTCTAAAATAAAAAGAACCAATTATATGCATTATATTACCTGGACAAAACAAACGAACCTAGTCTTAAATAATTAAATGGTTCGTCACCAAGGTTACATTACAATTGCACTCCAGAGTAAAAAGATGAATAGAGTTTGTGCTTAAGAGAAGTGTCAAAGAAGACAGGAGTTAAATATTATACCAAACATAAATTAAAAACCAAACGAAACGTTTGTCTCTTCTTTCACTATTATAATTAGACACGAATTTGAATTTGTGTGAGAGTCCATTTAAAGGTATGAAGAATGAAAATCTACAAAATTACACCCATTACTGATAAAGTCAATGTTGAAATCCTACACAACTTGTATGACTTTTACCATAATACACTTGACAAGGATTGACAGTAGCATCCCATGGGTCGATAGTTCTTCCTGGGGGTGCCCTCCAACGAATATACTGGCGAACGTGTGCAGCCTATCATGTGCCGACAATTGCGTTAAACCCATAATAACCAAACTAATTATAGTGTCTGTGTCTGTGTGATGATAATTTTTAAAGTAGCTTTAACAATTTTTCAGTCATATCGCTACAATGTCTGCAGTGTGGCAGTTTATAGTGATATCTAGCACTGGGGCATCATGCCGCAGACATGTAGCATGATGTCACACAGTCATTTTGTCCTGACACCAGGCCGATCAGTTCTAACACTAATCTCTCAATACTGAGCGCCAAGCGAGGCAGCTGTTAATGCCATTTTTGTTAAGCCTTTTGTATGACTCGACTGGGGATCGAACACACGACCTCCCGCATCCGATGCGGACGCTCTAACCACTAGAGGCCACCGGGGAGAGAGAGAGAGAGAGAGAGAGAGAGAGAGAGAGAGAGAGAGAGAGAGAGAGAGAGAGAGAGAGAGAGAGAGAGAGAGAGATATTGCTCTAAAAGATGAGGATCAAAATTGTGCGACTCCTTGAAAGCAATTGTCTTGAGGACTACATGCAATTTGCGTCTCAGACCACGTGGGGTGTCATGTGGAGTATCAACAATATCACTTAAGCATTGCTGGTGTTTTGGACAGGGAAACCTCTACGTATGTTACCTTCTTTACCTTCCTTCAGTGCGATTGTCAGCCCTTATATATCGAACACAGTCTTCAATTTATGATTTTTCGACATTTTTTAATCAGCCAGAACAAAATAAAATCAGGTAGAATTTATAAAACAGGGCTCCTTGAAGTGTCTCTGGGTAGGACTAAAACGCACAATATACTTCTTTCATAATATTGTTGCTTTATGCCAAATGAAATTACAATATTTCTATTTTACAATACATCTTTGAAATAACTCCAATTTATTGAGAATAATTGTCTTGAATTATTTATTAATATTTTGAGAACTTTACATTATACATAGATTTTAAATACATGTGCGAAATGTAAATGAGACATTTGGGACAACAGTTCCCTCCTTAAATCATAAGCTAGGGCAATTTTTGAAATAAAAGAACATGTTACATAATTCAAAAATAAAAATACTAGATATTTATAAAAACAAAACTTTTTTAAAGTCACTGTTTGAAAAAGATTGAAAATTGTTATACAAAACGGAATCATAAAACATTTTAAAAATTATTCCTTCTGTTTACCGCTATTTTACCCCCCCCCCAAAATGAAAGCAAACAGAAGTTTAGTTGTTTGCACAAGTTAACATGCAAACAGTCCTCACTTTCAATCCTTTTTGCACAGTAATTGTAAATCAAATTTGAAAACTGGCACGAGATAATGTATTGATAATTGATAGTACAGCATCAGATTTTTTCTGATGTTTGCTAATGAATAAAATAATGAACTTTAGAACATTTTCGTCATGTATGCTTAAATTATAAATGTTTTATTTCAAAATCTTCCGACACTTACTTAGCTTTTTAATTGATCATGAATGAAAATGGTGTACATGAAACCAGCAGTAGGCCTAATGGATTAGTGTTGTGAACTTTGAAAACTAAATCTCCTTATGTCGGAGGAAATGCTTGAACCTCTTACAGCAGTAGGTCTATTAGATTAGTGTTGTGAACTTTGAAAACTAAATCTCCTTATGTCGGAGGAAATGCTTGCACCTCTTACAGCACTAGGCCTATTGGATTAATGTTGTGAACTTTGAAAACTAAATCTCCTTATGTCGGGGGAAATGCTTGCACCTCTTACAGAGTTTATGAACGCTGTTAACTTGACCGTGTATAAAAGTTTACTAGACTTTGCTTTCCAATCTGTTTAAAGTCATCACTGTGACACCAATGTCAAGGTCAAATGTCTCAAGATGGTTTTCTTTCAAGTCTGTGATGGATTGTGAGCAAGGTAAATCAGCAAATATGAATGAATTTGTATCTAAAGAATGCATTAAAAGTTTTATGTACAATGTATCCCAATTCTAGATTCTGCAAGTCATCGAGTTCACACTGGAAGAATTTAACAATAAGAATAATCATCAAGTTGTATGCAACTTTTCCTCGATCTTCAATGTAGGTAACTTGTAACATAATTAACCTGTTCAATTATGGCTCTCTGTGCAAATTCCAAATTCCTGTACAAATTCTGAGCAAATTTTACGGCAGAATTCATCATAAGAATCCCCAGCCGAAGTCTATGTCTAGGTACGATCGTCAAATCGTTCAAGGTTCGACTGGCAAGAGTTCAGGTCCAGACGACTAGACAAAAGTTGGCAGTGCAGGAAAGAACGGAAATTTCGATGTCCGGATAAGATAGGTGATGATGTCATTTTGCGTTGATCTCAAGGTCACGACTCGTAGGCTATGATGAAACTGTATTCATTCTGTCACTGACAAGTAATAGTAAAGTGAAAATTTGTATTGCTTTTATTGAGTACATGTTAGTACATTTTCCTTCTTTTGTAGCAAAGAAATTTATTTCTTCCATTTGAAATTCTGTTGTTAAATTTATTAAATTTTATATTTGTTCATTGAAAGTAGGCTCGTTTTATTTCTTCAATATACTTGCTCAGAGACCTGTGTTATTCTTTCTATCCATCCACAGTGGGTAAATTACACCGCAGGTCATTCCCTAGCAACGAACTGTAGAGAAGTGATTGGTTTAACGTTTTGAATGCCACCAATTTGCCACACATATGGACAGGATAAATAAATGTTACTTTATTTAATTTTCCAATTTATAGGACACAAGATCTTCAAATATAAATGTGAATGTTTTGTAACAGATGTATAATCAGATTGCTATATAAAATTATGAATGCATGCAATAATTAAATATCAACTAAGAATAAAGAAATAAGAACCAAGAAAAAAATTACATATACAGTGATAGTGGGTATTTTTTCTTCATAAACTGTTGAATTTTCACTTTGGAAATTAGTCCTTCACACAAACATATTATCGACATCACCTATCTCAAGAGACAGACCATTTATATTAGCAGATGAGCTGGTTTCCCAAGAGAGATTTTATTGTATAGGTTTCTCCTTTGTTCTAGGTATTCAATATTGATCAGCAATGACAGGATACAAAAACAACTCAAGTTACCACACACATGATCATGCTGGGTACTCTACAATTATTATGTACATCTGAGATAGCGACAGGTGTACTGTGAAGTATTTGCATTTGCTACATGCACAATGTAGAGAATGTTGGTAAACCTCCATGTTACTTTTGTGTTCTGTGGCTGTAATTTCTTTGGATGTTGTACTTGTGGAAATGAAACATGAACACACCAAATCAAAATGGCTGCTCCAATGTGTTCATACAAATAGCCTGAATTACTTTAAAGTACACTATCTTTGGCATTTATTAAAATAGGGAAAACAAATTTTGCCAGACTAGACTATACCAGCTTCTGAAAGTGCAATGAATAAATTACCAAATATATAAAAATTAAAGTTATTGGCTCTTGTCAAAATCTACCTGTGAAGTCCAGTAAGTGAAAATGACCAAGTGGAGGTAGCTCAAATAAGACCAAGCTGTATACTTCATAACCCATATTACACCCATCAAACACCAAAATAAAGGGAATTAAGTTATTTTAACAATACTTAACTTATACAAGGTCTTTTGTATATAACCAGGATAACCAGTGAGGAAAACCTTGGAAATTCTTTTCCTTTAAAAATCTCACACTACACAACAAAATTGTAGAATGCCACCATGATAAGACTATTCCCATCTCCATCAGTTTTTGTTTTTGGTTTAATGCCATTTTTGAGTGCAAGATAGGCTATAGATGGTGGTCAGTATAACAGGAAACCTCTAGCAAGAACCACCAACATGTGGGAAGCTATTGGTGGCTTTCTCAAATACCCACCTTTGCCAAGCCCGAGACTCGAACCCACTTGGACAGGTGAGAAGCAGTAATCAGTAAAGGTGGGCACTTTAGACACTCGGACAACCTGGGCCCCAATTTCAAATAGATTATATGACATACATGTACTTATTTTGCCCCATGCCATTAAACTTTTAAAAGTCTGACTCTTTCCAGACCAAAAATATTTTGAATAAACAGAGTTTTTTGTGTGGAAGGTAAATAAAGTTTATTTTGGAATGAAAAGTTTGTGGATGAGCAGCTTTTAGTGTGCATATACTAAATGTATAAGCAAAACTTGCACCTATTATCAATGGAAAAGCTTACACCTATTATCAATGGAAAAGCATACACCTATTATCAATGGAAAAGCTTACACCTATTATCAATGAAAAAGCTTACACCTATTATCAATGGAAAAGCTTACACCTATTATCAATGAAAAAGCTTGAAATATTTTGTATTAGAATCTTGCATCCATTATTGATGGAAAAACTTGTAACATTCTGTATTTGAAATTTGCACCTAATATTGATGGAAAAGCTTGTAATATTTCTTGCATTTAAGTGTGGAATGCCCAGGAAAGAGGGGGTAGGGGTGAGCTTGGTATGCATGTGCTGAGACCTGAGAGAATTCCTCATTAATATTTAGTACAGAGGGACCTGGATATTCTACCCCAATGCACAAATTTTCCATTTTATCAAGTTTCCCAAGTATGCTGAGAGCCATCATTTTGGGGGGGACAATTTATGCTGTAAATATCGGTGCTTAAAAAAAGCAGTTGGTGATACTGTGAAAAAGTAAAAGCAAAGGCATCAAATAGACCTTCATTTCACTAAATTTCTCCTCAATTTGAGATTTCACATTGCTTTCAATATTTTAGACAATACTGGGATTTCTTTAAGGGTATTCACATGGACATGATACGCTCCTTAAATGTTTTATAAGTGTTGATATCAATTTGTTTTTTAAAAAGCATTGAAGGATTCATCCAATCTTTGAAAAAAAAATCATTAAACTTCCCATAATGATACAAATCAAGATAAAGTACACTCTTAGTACTTCCTGTCTGATGATGAACATTTGCTGAGAAATTCATTGCCACCACCCAAGAATAGTATTTTATTTGTACTTCTTTCAATTGAAATTTTTTTAGTATTTTAATGAAAACTGGGCCAGATATACATTTCTTGAATAAATTAATGAAAATTTATAAATCTTGTTTCAGCCAGTCTTATAAAGTTATTCCTTTTGCAGCAGAAAAGTGGTCTTATAAGATAGGTGGTCTTTTTATAGGCGGATGACACACCTGAATATTAATTACACACCAAAATGTAGACTTGTAAGACTGTAAAAAGTGCAACTATTTTGTAAATATTTGTTTTTTTTAAAATCACATTCAAGCAATGGGATTAATGTGATAAATCTTGTATTAATGTGTATTAATATCATAATGAATATTCAATAACTTCAGTACAAAACCATGTGAAAACCTTTTCAATAAAATCAGGGCATTAAAAAAAA